CATGGGCGTAGCGAGGGGGGAGCCTGGGTGGGCACGGCCCCTCCCAGGGAACCTGGTGCCCTCCCCAGGAAATCACAGCCGAAAAAGTGTTGAGTCGATTTGTAAAAACCTAAAGCTAAAATAAAAGTTTTGAATACTAAAAAAAGGTGAACGGCTTGCTCGGTGCCCAATAATGAACAATAATTTGAAATAATTCAATTTTGTGTCAGGTTGGCCTCCACTAGGCCCCCCCATAACAAAACTCTGGCTACGCCCATGAGAATATAGACTTTTCCTCCACCAGCATTTGCTTATGTTCTAAACCTACACGCTTGTTAGTAAGATTTCCTTTTGAGGAGAAGCGCTTATCGCAATAACAACGAGATTTTCTAATATATCCAACGCAATATTTTCCATAACGATTTCTTAGCAACGTAGCGGGAATACTTCACAACCACTTATCGATGATAAAGTGTGGTTTTAAAGCTAAAATTTCGACAAAAAATTCCAAGCACACCGTACAGCATGACGTATACGTTATATGAACCTCACAACACTAGCGGCATCTCGTGGTAAAAACCAGAACTACGGCTACGGAATCGTTCTGTAATTAGACGCCAGTGATATATCTGGACGGACCAACCCCGAAAAATTCCTGAGGATTTTTCAACCCGTCTGGATTCAATCCTGGGTCCCTCAGAGCGGCAGGCTGCTATCTTGACCGCTCGACCATCCGTCCTAGTTTTTATATGGTTTTTTTTTCTTAAATTTTTTTCTGACCTGTGGGTAATTAGAGAGCCTTTTTTTTAGCAAGCCCATAGACTCACAACGGAATTGCCAGGCGGGAAGAGATGGGGCTTGACATATCCGGACGGACCACCCCCGAAAAATTCCTGGTATTGGGAGATCGGATCACTTTGAGAGATCGGGGATCAAATCCGAACGGATTTGATCCCCGATCTCTCAAAGAGATAAGCAGCCACTTTAATCATTCGACCATGCGGCCGCTTATTCTTTCGTTGTGGATACTTTCCTGAAAAATCAATGAGGGAAGATACTGTATAGAAAAATAAAGGATTGGTTCCAGATCTTAAAAACTAGTAAAAATAATATGATAAACCAATTACTATTTAAACAAAACACTTTAATTTTTGTTAGTGAATCAGAAGCGGGACGACGTAAACTTACTTATCGGGAAAATTTAATAAATTTATTTTAATGTTATTTTTTTATTTGACTTTTTCAATTAAATCCGGTGGACAAAAACTATTCCGTATTGGGAGGAATACATTGGATTAGATTGATGGGGTAAGGCAAGGATGGTAAACTTGTGGCTCACGCAACAATTTTAAGGTGCCCGTATTGGATGTTTAGAAAATATCAGGTTGTTAGAAATGATTATTTTTTTAAATACAGTATTTACTAGATTTCAAAACTTTATATATGTGGTGTGAAAGCGAGATCCTAAAAGCTGTCGTGAAAAATCTTGAAGTCTTTAATTGTGAAACCTGACAGAGAAAATAAAATAAAATTATCGAATCCTTTTTTTCTGTAATTAATTGATGTTTAATCATTGGATTTTTATCTATGAAAGAATATATATACATATGTATTTAACTCTTTCCGCCCTTCCTTGTTAAATGTGCTTGCTAAAATAAGCCATTTTAGTGCCGACAGGGCGGAAAGAGTTTTAAAAAAGTATAAACAATCTATTCATTTCACTAAATAATCAAATTAAGCTTAAATGGTATATAAAATTTGGGTTTTGGTTTGATTGTTAACAACGGGTTGGTAACTTTCCCGGCTGTTATGAGTTTTTATTTAAAAAATAACTTTTATAATATGCAAAATTAAAAAATTTGTGTCGCCATCTATTAACATATTTTGTTCTAAAAACTTTCTATATTTTTAATTACTATAAACTGGCAAAAGGCTTAATTTTGAGAGTAGGGATGAGTTTTATGAAAAAGTATAAATGTTAGTAACGAATAAAATCTTCATTAAGTCCTACCCACTCTATATATGACACACGATCCCTCTCTATCTCGCCACTTCCTGGACCTTTCACCTCAAAATTTAACAGCATCAATGCCCCTCATATACAAGCCACCATGCCAAATTTCATTTCTTAATATTACCCAATCCTGAGATATTAAGCGAAATAGATGCCAACCACACAAACACATACATACATACATACAGTGGTGATATTCAGCGGGTTCGCACAGGTTCGGCCGAACCCGTTGTTAACATTTTCAAAGTTTTCCGAACCTTGTTAAACATATGTAACATTTCTCAATGGTTTGATTCTTTTAAAAATATTAAAATATACGTATTATACTCTGTAACACTACTAAACTAGAGCCTTCCGATGCACTATTTGAGCGAAAAAAAAAAATTGTTAAGGAAAAATTTTCTGTTACGAACCCTTTGTTAAATATTTCGAATGTCATCCCTGCATACATATCCATAGAATTTATATATATACATATATATTTTTACTTTTTTGGATTCAGGAGGTCTCAAAACGTGGAGAGTTGCAAAAAACTCGTAGGGTCAAATTTGACACGATTTCATTACTTTCTCTTGTTATGTATATATAACAGCTGGGAAAGTAAAATACATTTCTTTTCAGCTATATCATAAGCTAATAATTAATAACAGTTTGTGTCTTGTTCAGTTTTATAAAAACTATTTTAACAATACGAATGTTCTGTATGAAACCTGAAATTCTTAAAACATTTTTATTCCGTAATCTTTATTAGTCAATATATTTTAATATATACGTATTATTTTATGCGGAAGTTCGAGCTTTTTCAAAGCTAATTTTAGCACAACGCTTTAATCTCAAATATTTCTAAAGCGTAAATATTGTAAAATTTCCACATAAACCAATCAGAAAAATCTATCCCTAATGACATCAGCGCCGTGTGACGGATGCGGTCTTTTTACGAAGTTTGTTTTCCTTCGCGCAGTCTACTTTATCCTGTATATTCTTGTCATTAATGTGCGACGTGGCAGGTGAGATCTTCGAAGTTGCTAAAATACATTTTTTAAATAATTTATCAGATGTAATTGCTCTTAGCGATAACTATATATACGAACAGATCTTCCGGTTCGAGAATAGCATTTGCCCAGATCACGTTAGTATCAATTAGAGTAATGTATTTTAAGAATGATGCAATTCATTTTTCTGCATCTCTATCCTAAAAGACTGAATTTTAATTTTGCTTGTTAGAAATAGTGAAAATATTATTATTTTGGTAAGTATTTAAAGCTTGATGTGTATTATCTGTAATTAAATATGAAATTGGACTGATTTATTGGAGAAAATAAACATTAAATTGTGTTTGAATATTAACATATTGATAATCGTTTATAATTGATTTTGTTGTCAATATATTAAAACAAAAGTAACATGTTAAGCTGTTGCTTACAGGGAAAGGGCTTAATTTTTGTTTTAGACTCTTACATTATTAAATAAAATGTTTATTTCTTCATATTTATTTTCAGATATTGTGATATTTGAAGCGTAACAAACATGACAATAATCCACAAAACCTTTTTTATAACAGTGTTGTGTCCTATAACAATCTTCACGAAAGTTTTCAACCTCCACCGAGGTCTGCTTCAGGTCTGCCGCATTATTTACATCTTGGGCGCCATCGTTCCAGCGGTCAAGAAGAGACGCCGTTTAGTCACCACCTGAAGCAGACCTCGGTGGAGGTCGAAAACGTTCGTGAAGATTGTTATAGGACACAACACTGTTATAAAAAAGGTTTTGTGGATTATTGTTACTCAACGCAATGTTCGGATTAGTAGTCGTTTTGTGTAACAAACATGAGCGTGTAAGAAAATTGTCTATAATATTAACAATTAAAAAAATAAAATGCTGCGACTGTGATACTCTGTCTTTGTATCGCTTGTCTTTTTGTGCATGTGCGGTAATATCTGAAGCTTATTTGCTTGTGAGGACGTAATATGTAATCGCAAGCAAAAATATGTGAAGAAATAAGTTTTATCTAACGACGTAAAACAATTCGGAGTATTTTCCTGAAAATAGTCGTAAATGCATTTTGGGTTTTCATTTCCATACTTATGTAGTAATTTTTTTGTGTTTATTAAATTTTCACTTTGATCCCGAAGTGTTTGTGCCCATCATTGGTCTGATAAGCCCTCACTATTATCTGCCTCACGGTTGTTGATAATTTAATTAATATAATATTTGGAGCTGTTCAACTTCTTAAATATTTAAGTTATTTTATATATACATTTACGATGTGTATATATCTTCATGATTGATTTTATTTATTTATCTCTTTTTCAGTTATTCTGAAAATTGAAATTTTGAAAATTTACAATGCCTGCCACAGATGAGTCAATTACAATAAAATCTAATTTAACAACAACAGCTATCCAAGGAGAAAAAAATCGGCAAAAAACAAAAGCCCAGTTGAAAGCAGAAAGAAAAGCAGCATTTGAGGCTCAGCATGGCAATTTGCTTTCTGAGAAAAAGGCTGCCACTACAAAAAAGAGTAAGGCAGAAAGAAGAGCAATTCAGGAAGCTCAAAGAGCTGCAAAACAAACAAACAAGCAAGCAAATGTTAAAAATAAAGATAAAACAGAAAAATCTCAAGAAAATCAAGTAAAAACTGAGAACTTGAATGAAAACAAAGTTAATAAAGTTGTTGGTGATGATATAACATCAAATACAGAAAAAGTTGGAGAAGAAAAAACAAATAAATTAGAAATTGAAACTATTACTCACTCTGTAGAAAAAAGTAAAACTTTGGAATTTGAAAATCATCAAAAAACTGACTTTAAGAAAGTACGTTTATTTTCACATCTCTCTCTTCGTTCTTGGGATAATACTAATACGAAGTTTGTAGGACTTTCAGGAAGTGTCATTCATCCAGCTATTATAAAATTAGGCTTAAAAACAATCTCGGGAACAATATCTGGTTCTAATGGTCGTGCTGTTGCTTTATTAGCTGCATTTAAGGAAGTTATAAAAGATTATGTAACTCCACCTCAGAAGGAGTTATCAAGAGATCTAGAATCAAAAATAAAACAGTATGTTAATTTTCTTAATCAGTGTCGACCACTATCAGTCAGTATGGTGAATACTGTCAAATTTTTACGTTGGCAGGTAACACATATCCCAAATGATATATCAGATGCTAAGGCTAAAGATCAACTAAATAAAGCAATTGATGATTTTATTCATGTAGAAATTGAACTTGCTCAAGAAGCAATATCTGGATATGCATTTGAAAAAATTTCAGATGGTGATGTAATAATGACATATGCTTGCTCTTCTTTAGTAAAGAAAGTACTGTGTGATGCTTTCAAAAAAGGGAAGAAGTTTAGAGTAATAGTAGTGGATTCAAGACCTAAATTAGAAGGACAGGCAACGCTTAAACATCTTATGGCCCATGGAATACCTTGTTCTTACATTTTTATTAATGCCATTTCTTATGTTATGAAAGAGGTAACATCAGTGATGTTGGGTGCTCATTCTTTGCAAGCAAATGGATATGTTATGTCTAGAATTGGTAGTTCCCAGATTTCATTAGTAGCTCATGCCTATAATGTACCTGTTTTAGTTTGTTGCGAAACATACAAATTCTGTGAGAGAGTACATACTGATGCCTTTGTTCATAATGAATTAGGTGATCCAAATGACCTGACAAAAATCATATCTTCAAAGAATAAGGAATGTTTAACAGAATGGAAGGATATACCTTCATTACATCTTTTAAATTTATTATACGATGTCACTCCACCTGATCTAGTTGCTATGGTAATTACAGAAAAAGATAAATTACCATGCACTTCAGTTCCAGTAGTGTTGAGAGTTAAATATGCTGGAATTCTAGATTCTTAAAATGAATGCTGTATAAAATTGTATGCTTTTCTTTCTTAAAAGTATTGTAACTAAAAATCTAATCTAATTGTTTTTCACCTATATGTATTGTTTTATTTGGAGTATAATTTTTATATACTTAAATCTTTCATAAAATAAATTAACAGAAAAAATATTTTTTAGACAAAAAATTGTTTAAAAAAATTAATAATCATCACCGTTATTTATTAATAAAGCTTTCTTTTGAGTAAGATGATTGTATTTAAAGCTGCATAAAGCAGAATGTGTAAAAAGAAATGATATATAACATTATTAAAATTTAGTGAATAGTTTTTTAAATGATTCTTCAGATAAAATACAAAACTGAGAGGTTATTGCAGAATCCTACTGAACAATGCTGAGATGAATTTTTATGCTAGCTGCATTTTTTTTGCTTTCACATACGATAAAATAAATCGTTTTATGACAAGTTTCCTATAGTTTTTGGTGTCTTTGGCTCATTTTTTTTATAAATAGCCTTATTACTGTAACAAGTCAGTGAACAAAACATTATTCAATTCCAAATTGTTTTTATATTAATATTAGTCCTTATTTAAAAAAATATCCAATGTGGGCAGAAAATTTCAATTTAAAAAACTTTATAAAAAAAAATACATGGGAAACCTCATTCTGTTCTGACTTTAGATTTGATTCACACATTCAAACAACACTTATATCAAGGAAAGGATTATTTTCACTTTCATCATACAACTGTAAGTTGCCTATCCATTAGCTACCACTGTTTTTATTTCATAAAACAAGGATTAATATTACTTGTATTTTCCAAATTGTTTTTATCAATTCCAGGAACGATTTTTAAATTCATGTCTTAGCTGATAGAAAGTTTAATGTGGGTAACCAGATATTACCAAATCTTTTTAAAAATATTGCAGTCTTAGTTATATATATACTCTATACTCTTTTTTTCTTCCTTGCCAAAACCTCAAATTATACTCATTTCATTTAAAAATTATTTCTTACAATTAGGCTAGTTTTCATTTTTAGAAAGATGTATTTAATTTTAAGGAAAAACTTTTTAATCACCAGATCTGGTGGATTTTTTTTCTTGTTGCTTTGAAATATATGAATTTGTTTTCATTGTTGGTAGCTGGAATTGTGTTGTGTATTTCAATTTATTTCTTCAGAATTAGGCAATATTGTGGAGAAAGTTCCAGCATTTGAAAATAGTTATCCCTGCAAAGGTAGGTTTTTGTGTAGCATGCACATCTAATTTAAATCTTTTATCCTGCTTTAAATGCTTCCAAAGTATCAGTTATCAAGACTTCCTACTATAATCTTTTGTTTATTGTCACAATACCCCTTTGAGATCAGTTAATTGCATCTTGTACCCTGTAGTATTCAGAAAAAGTTGTTCAAGAACTGAACTGTGAACATTTCAAATAACCTACATCAATACTGTTTTATATTCCTATAGGTGAATATGTGAACATTCAAAAAAATGTTTCTAAATTCTAAGTTTATATACCAGGGATGGGCAAGCAAAAGTTCAGTGGGAGACAAAATGTAGGTTTTGCAAAATGCATGGGAGCCACAGTTCTGTACTTTATTCTGTACTGCAATTTTATTATATAACAAATATAAAACACATTGAATTTTTTTAATAAACATATTTTCACAAAATTCTGGAAATAAAATTGTAAAAATAATAAAGCAGATTAACACTTTCAGCAAGAACCACATTTGCCCATATCTGTTATATATAGTGTGTATTTTTTCCTTTGTTAGGTAAACAAAAAAAATTAGGTAATGTTAGGTAAAAAACAAAAATTTGACTTTATACAATGGTATATTGGTTCACTAAAGTGCAAATTCACATATATATAATTGAAAATGAACACTGAATTGTTAATCATCATACTCATCTGATTTTATTTATGAGATTATAAAACATTTATGGTAACAATATCAATTGGATTATGATGCAAACAAAATCTCAAATTGTCACATTAGTGTCATAAATTATTGATTTAAAATGATCTAATTTACATAGTTACTGGGTTTGCTAAGCTTTAACAGAATATTTTGAAAGCAATTACTTTAGTAGTACATTGATAGAAGTATATAGAGAATGAGTAGAATAATATGGACTGGGTATAGCTTCAGAAAATTCAGAATAGTTGCCTACTATATTTACTATAATCAGAGGAAAGAATTGTGCATTTTTGAAGATGACTGAAAGATGATTCTAGAAAGCAGTCATGTTCAATCACAAATGCAGTAATAATAAAAGTGAAGGCAATTTAAAATCATTTTTATTAGTATTCATCAGTTACCCATTTTCCTTTCTTATTGAAATTAAAACTTTCCTTAGTTTTACAAACCTTTCTAATAATAATAATGAAAGAATTGTTATCATTTTCTACTTAGGAAATAGAAGATAATTTCCTCATTTTGAGAAATATCAATGTGTTGAATCTTAATAATTGGGCTACAATTTTCAAAAGTTCAACCTACAAATACCTATTTGTTTATGTTCTTCCTTAAATCTCAGCATTTAAAATAAAACTATATCAATTTCACATCTCTATTTATTACATAAATTGATTTTACAATTATGATACATAAGAAAAAAGTGCAAAATTTACAATAATATTTACATCATGATTAGACAAAATAATTTTTCTTATATACTTTCATTTATAATTATCAAAATTCATGTTTTAATCTATTTTTTCAATAGCATATGGTTTGTCTTTGTCTTCATTATATGCCTTATAAACAAATAAAGCAAGAATTATATGTATTGCAATAACACTAACAGCAGTAGCATAAATGTAACTCTGATTGCTTGAAACATTAAATATATTTTCTACAATAGATTTTGAGAGGAAAAATGAAGTCACAGGAAATGTAATCATGAGCAAACTGTATATTAGAAGAACTTGAAAAGGATTCTGAGTCTGTGCCATTTTTCTTTACATAAAAAATCTGCAAGAAATTTGAACATTAAAATCATTTAAGAACAAATGTTTATTAATAAACAGGGTAATTATTTTCATAATATTTTTAATCTTATTTAATAATTTTCTATGTAAATTTATAATTAATGCAATTTTTAAGTATAAAGTAATTTTACTGAAATCTAGTCAATGGCATGCACAATATTTGGACAGATATTATAAATAAAACATTTAAAATGCAACTTCATTAGCATATTAGGACTACCACAATTCATTTTCTTTATTCACAATGTAACAAAAGTTGTAAAATGATAGAAAATTATAAAAATTGACTTGTTCAAATTAATCAGCAGCTTAGTAATTTTTATAAATTCCTTTAATGCAATTTGAGAAATATAAATATTTTTAACTTACTGTATAACTGTATGCAATAAAAAATTAAGCTTAGCAAAATTTCATTTAAAAAAAACATTACTATCAAATGTTAAGATACAAATTCCAAAATTATCTTAAAAATTTCAAATAATTTTAACAGTACATAAAATATTTTTTTAGCAATTTAAAATCCAGATATTTGAATTTTTACCTGTATATAACATTGCTTAATTAATTTTGAAATATTAATTATACAATAATGTCAATTTGAGAACTGCATTGTAACATCACAAACCATGTTTATAAAACAAGCTTAATCAAATTCTGCAATGGTCCTATAACCACAGAGAAGTTAACTGAGAAAAATCATACTGGAAATACAGTAGAACCTCGAAAACTCGGCCTAATGTGGACCGAAGGGTGGCCGAGTTTGTGAAAATGCTGGGTTATCAGGAATGGGGTTAAAAAAGAATAAGTATGCGTGTTTCCTCAGAAAATAGTGTACTGTAATTGTATGTATTGTTTGCTGGAGAATACAACAGAGAATAAACTGCCCAAATACCCTTAAACAAAGGAAAAGTACATACTTTATGAAGGCATAGAGCCTTTACTACATGAAAATGAAAATTAATGAATACAGTGCGCACAGTAATTTAGCTGATAAGACAGACCTCAGAAAAATACTTTATGAGAGCTTTTATATTTTTATAAAGCTGTCTATAATGAAAATTAATTAACTAAGGATTTTTTTGGCCTGCCAGGGTGTGGCCGAGTTATCCGGAGTGCCGGGTTATCGAGAGCCGAGTTTTCGAGGTTCTACTGTATTAACTGCCTCAGTATGGTTGAAATATTAAGTGTTAGCTATCAATATGCTAGACAACTTTATGTAATTTATACCAAGTAGTGAATCCTTTGCATTTTTTGTTTTGAATTACTTGGCTTTGTATAATAAGCCATAATTAAAATTCTAGATTCAAAAATATGTTTCAAGAAAGTATACACACACACACTATTCTTTGGGAAATAAATATAAAACCTAATTTAATTAGAACATTATAAACTGTGAGCATTTTTTGTAAACTATGTCATAAAACCACGTGAAAAAATAAAACACTTAACATTTTATTTCAATAGGTCTGTTAATAGTAATATTAATAAACTACTTTTTTATTCTAATATTCATGGTTTTTTCTATTTTTTAAATTGAAGAACATTTTGTAACTAATTTTTAATGCCTCCAAAATTATTCTGTTCTTTAATGTATTGTTAATGTCAGTTTTTATCATGTAATTATTTATGATCTTTTAATTTTGTAAACTTATATTTATCAGAAATTATAATGATTGATAGTGTTGTATTGTTTGTAATAAAGTCACAAGCAAATAAATCATACAGTGATAAAGCACATATATAAAACAGATATATATGTTTGAATGTATAGTTCGAAAGTTACAGATTGTTGAGAGAACAATCAGTGGTGCAGCAGTGGACATCTGTGGACCCAAAAAAACTTGGGTGATATTTTTGTAAAATATGGTATAATAAATTAGTTTTTTTAAAATATATTTCAGACATAAATCAAGTTTGCTAGAAACTAAAGCATTATTATCTATTTCTTTATGAAAGGAACATTAATCCACACCAATGCTTTGCCAGACCATCTTTGTTTCATCAATGTCATATATGCATTTTTATACATCATAATTTTATTCATTTTAATATAATATTGACAATTTTAAATGATGTAGCTATTGAACACTACTGGTC